TTGTAGTGATGCCCTTTGGATTAATGAATGCACCGGCAGTGTTCATGGACTTAATGAATCGAGTGTGTCGTTCATTCCTGGAAACGTAGTCAACACATTCGACAAATCTTGAAAACTCTAAGAAATGAAAAGCTATACACAAAATTCTCAAAGTGCAAATTTATGATTCGGAAAGTAGATTTCCTAGGTCACGTGGTTAGCAAAGACGGGATACACGTGGACCCCTCCAAAATCAAGGCAATCGAGAACTGGTCAGCTCCAAAACCCCAACAGAAATCCGAAAATTCTTGGGCCTTGCTGGCTACTATCGAAGGTTTATAAAGAAATTCTCGAAGATTGCAAAACCATTTACCACCCTGACCTAAAAGGGTGTTACCTTTCAATTGGGAAGAAAGACAAGACACATCATTCAAAACACTGAAGCAAGATCTATGCAGCGCACCTATATTGTCCTTACCAGAAGGAACAGAAGACTTCGTGGTCTACTGTGATGCATCTAATCAAGGTCTTGTATGTGTTCTAATGCAACGAGGAAAGGTTATCGTCTACGCCTCAAGACAACTCAAGACGCACGAGGTCAACTACACTACACACGATCTTGAACTAGGAGCAGTCGTTTTTGTGCTAAAGATCTGGAGACACTATCTCTATGGCACGAAATGCACGATTTTCACCGATCACAAGAGCCTTCAGCACATTCTCAATAAAAAAGAACTCAACATGAGGCAAAGACGATGGGTTGAACTACTGAATGATTATGAATGCGAGATTTGTTATCACCTAGGAAAAGCGAATGTAGTAGCTGATGCTCTTAGTCGAAAGGAATACTCAGGTCGCCGAGTAAAATCCTTAACCATGACGATCCATTCACACCTGTCCACACAAATCAAGGAAGCTCAGAGGAAAGCCTTTAGAACAGAGAACATGGCATGTGAAGCCTTAAGGGGAATGGATAAGAATCTTGAAGTCAAGGGTGACGGAGTTCGTTACTTCGTGGATCGGATCTGGACACCAAAGTTTGGGGGATTCAGAGACGTGGTCATAAATGAGGCTCATAAGACTCGATACTCCGTGCAGCTAGGTTCGGACAAGATGTACTTGGACCTCAAGAAACTGTATTGGTGGCCGAACATGAAAGCAGAGATCGCTACCTATGTGAGCAAGTGTCTGACTTGTGCCAAAGTCAAGGTAGAGTACCAAAAGCCATTAGGATTGTTACAAAAACCTCAAATACCCCAGTGGAAGTGGGAATGGATAACCATAGACTTCATAACCAAATTACCCAAGACAGAAGGTGGGCTAGACACCATCTGGGTAATCGTAGATAGGTTAACAAAATCCTCACACTTCCTACCCATAAAGGAAACCGACAAGATGGAGAAGCTAGCTCGAACATACATTCGAGAGATTGTACGACTATACGGTGTACCAATATCCATCATCTCTGACAGAGATAGTAGGTTCACCTCACAATTTTGGCAGTCGCTACAAAAATTTCTTGGAACGAAACTAGACATGAGTACCGCTTACCACCCACAAACCAATGGTCAAAGTAAGAGGACCATACAAACCTTGGAAGATATGCTAAGAGCTTGTGTAATCGATTTTGGTAAAGCGTGGGATACCCATTTACCACTAGTTGAATTTTCATACAACAATAGCTATCACTCCAGCATTAAAGTTGCTCCATTTGAAGCCCTCTACGGCCGGAAGTACAGATCACCATTGTGCTGGGCTGAAGTACGTGACACGCAACTAGCCAAGGGACAAGTACCCGACAACACTCTCACTGGCCTGGAGATCATAAGAGAGACAACCGAGAAGATTGTACAAATTCGGGAACTACTAAAGGCTTCAAGAGACAGAAAAAAGAGTTATGCAAACAAATGATGGAAACCCATGGAATTTTAGGTTGGGGACCGAGTGCTATTAAAGGTCTCACCCTGAAAGGGGTTAATACGTTTCGGAAAACGTGGGAAACTAAACCTAAGCTATATCGGACCATTCGAGATCCTTGCAAGGATCGGTCCAGTAGCATACAAACTTCGACTACCGCAGGAACTCAATAACGTACATCCTACCTTTCATGTGTCAAACTTGAAGAAATGTTTGTCAGAAGAGACCCTCTTCGTCCCTTTAGACGAAATCGAAATCAACGAGAGTCTACACTTTATAGAAGAACCAATTGAAATCATGGATAGGGAAATTAAAAGAACAAAACAAAGTCGCATACCCATCGTGAAGGTCCGCTGGAATTCAAAGCGAGGACCTGAATACACTTGGGAACGCGAAGATCAGATGAAACACAAGTACCCACATCTTTTTCACTAATCCACTAGTGTTTTTCTTACATTAAATTTTGGGACGAAATTCCCTCTAACGGGGGATGATGTGACAACCTGATATTTCGAATCCATGTAATGACCTAAAAAGTCAAGTATTGTAATCACTTTTGAAATAATGAAATTAGCATCAAAAATAAAATGTTCAAAAGTCTCTATTGAATTGCAAAAAATGATAGTTATCATGTCATGATTTTCAGAAATATAAAGTACACTGAAAACTGAGTCATAACGAAGAAGTTATGACCAACCAAAGATTCACAACAAAAACCGTCATTACGGGTAAACGTAAAACGATAAATTTCAATAAAATACTTATTAGCCTTAGGTATTTAAATGAAAGTCGTAATTATCATTAAACCATGAACATACATAAAAAGAACGCCCAAATCTGACCTCAGATGAGGAAGTTATAAATTTTCAGAGTTCTGTATAGCGGTAGACAGCTAAAAACTCGAGACAGAGATCGAGCGACTATTGGCCGGAATAACCTAAATGAGAATCGAAGGTTTCGACAATGGTATTTCAACGGTAAAAAGTCTTGAGAAAACAGACATCGGATGAAGAAGTTATGGATTTTTAACGAACTTTTCCTGCCCCGACCTTTTAAAAATAAATAATTAAAATAATTTCAAAATTTGCAGACGGAATCTAAACGAAAGTTGTAGAGCGTAGTCTCACCTACGTGTGGATATAAAGAACATCGTAAACGGAGTTCGTATGAAAAAGATATGAATTTTAGAAGTTTACTAAATAATTAAAATATAAATTTAATTAAAAATACGGTATTATCCGATGGAGGAGTCACCCGACCGATCCGAGTTACGCCCAGCGTACTCAAGTGCTAGGCCTCAGAACGTCCACGTCACCCCTCTACGTCTCTATGTCCCGTCCCATCCGAGCTCCGATAGCCGAGGATGCGGTAATGCATGACGTACGCGTACGCCCAACGTACCGAGGCGGATCCGCTTCCTATAAAAGGGATGCGAGGGTTCCGGGTAAAATTACTCAATTCCTCTCTTTCTCTTGCGTTTTTAACCTATTTTGCGTGCAAGTAATATCTCAAAGCCTCGGTTTTCATACCCAAGCCCTGAAGGAAGTTTATGTTCCCGAGATTCCCGAGAAAATCCGCTTTCTCGAGTCAAAGTTCTGCTCGGTTTTCATCTCACTTACTTCAATCTACCAGGTGAGTTCATACCCCTATAAACTACACTTTCAAATGTTTTATCAATGCTTTTTATAAACTTTTAAGGGGGGGGATACAAGTAAACACACAGTTATTATCGTGTGTAACCTAAAGTTTCACTATAAACACTTTTTATCAAGTAAATCATATGTGATTCATAACTACTAAATGAGAACTTCATATGTGATATATATATATATATTCTCGATAACATCTTGTCTTTTGGAAAAACATGTTTATATATATACACGAATCAAACACTTTATTTATACTTTAAGTATATGTGATCATTTATGCCACTATAAATATTATACTTTACATAACAAGTGAGTATTACACTAGGGTTTACTATACGAACGAAACACACACTTTGAAAAACTATAATAGGTATAGTTTACGAGAAAATCATGGACATTTAAATACTAGAAACACTATATCAAAAAGATATTTTCATAGACAAGAACAAATGGACATTTTCGTACGTAAATCTGTTTTATACTAAGTTTTGTGAGACATTTCACATACTTTCGAGTATTCATTTTAAGTCTTGTATTATATACCAAAATCCCTTGTAGGGGGAGCGTGATACTTGTGTATAGATCTATACGGGATTGACAATCTCACACCTAAGCTGTTAGCTGCAGCTAGGCTGGCAGGCCTGGGGTGACAAACGTCATAACTTTCCAATGCTTAAAGAACGTCGTTATAGGCATCTTGGTCAAATATCATGGTTATAAGACTCACATGGAGTGTTAAAAACACATTGATTTACGGGGTTTTTCAAATTCCTTAGCGATTTATACATAAAGCTACTATTTTAGGCATGAAAAATACTATTGCATTACAAGTTTTGGAACAATTAAACTACCATCTACAATAGTAGAAAATATGAGATTTTCTAGGAACATTCAAACATGTACAAACCCTTTTCATTCTATTTCATACAAACATTGTTACTAAATACTTATGAACTCACCAGCTTAAATGCTGATCTACTCTTTCAAAACTACTTGTATTTCTCAAGAATTCAGTAAAACAGGTAAACAAACAGCTTTTGAAGAAGGGACGTTGTAGCGTTAGTTTAGTTTCATTTTGACATCATATTGTAATTTGTTTTTGAAACAAGTACCTATCAACAATGTAAAATTTTAAATTATATATATGATGGTTGTATTACTTTCTTTACTATGTATTCAATTGTTGCGATACTACATGAAGTCGTCCACCCTCGAACGATTCCGCTGTTCTGGTTTGGGGGTGTGACAGATGTTGAGAGACATAAGAAAGGAAAAAAGTTGTTCTGAGGGTGTAGTTCATCAAAAGGCTTTCACATTAGGACAGAAGTTCAAAACAAAGAAAGATGTGACAGAATATATAAACAAACATGCAGTAGAAACCAATAGGGATTTACATTTTGAAAAAAAAATGACAAAAAAATAATTAGGGATAAGTATAGTGGAGTGGTCCGATATATGAGTGGTGGGCCATGGACAAAGTCAAGGACTGGATTCAAGGACAAAACAGTATATACGAAAGAGGGTAAATGTCCCTGGGTTGTATTAGTATCTAGACCTAAAGAGGCATATGACTGGGTGGTGAACACCCTAGTTAGTGAACATCGGTGTGTGCAATCAAGAACCATTAAAGCTTGCAACTACAAATTCATTGCAACAAAAAATGTGAAGCAAATTAAGAGTAATCCAACCATTCCAGTCAATGCACTTCAAGAAGATCTCATCCAAAAATTCGAGATGAACATGTCAAGAATGAAGGTACATCGGGCTAAGGAATTGGCTCAAAAGCATGTTTTTGGGGATTTTCATAAACAATATGCTATTTTGAGGGACTATGGACTAGAGTTGATGGAAAGAAACCCAGGTGCTAATGTGAAGATTGAATTTTACACTGAGCCAAATTTAAATTCTAATACAAGGACATTTAGGAGAATTTACATTTGTTTAGGAGCATTAAAGGAAGGGTTTAAGGCTAATCTAAGGGATTTCATAGGGTTGGATTCCAATAATGGGATATATCCTCTTGCATATGCTCTTGTTGAGAATGAAACCACAAATTCATGGACATGGTTTTTGGAACAACTTGGTGATGATCTTGAACTTTATGCTAATTCAAACTTCACTTTCATCTCAGATAGGCAGAAGGTACATATACTTCAATTTAATTTGATATTGTTGTTATTTAGTCAACTAAGTATTGAAATATTTAAATAGGGTATCATTCCTGCAATTGCCAAACTTTTCCCTCAAGCTGAGCATAGGTTCTGTCTGAGGCATATTTATGAAAATATGAAAAGACAATGGAAGGATAAAGAGCTCAAAGATTTGGTGTGGGCATGTGCAACTGCTACTACTATAAGGCATTTTAAGAAAGCATTAGAAGAGCTTATGAAATTCAAAGTTGAAGCTCATGATCGGCTAATACAGATTCCTCCAGCTCATTAGGCAAGATCTCATTTACTTCATCTTTCCTTTATGTTAACATTTACTTCTCATTGTTAGGATTTGTTCTCATTTTGTATTATATGACTAAACAAGGAGGGCACATACTAAGGCCCTGTTTGATATGGCATCTGACTGAGTCAGGTCAGACATTTTTGCTGACTCGGTCAGACAAAAGGTGTTTGATAGACAAAATCTTGGCGTCTGACTTGGAAAGTAATGTTTGACCGAGAAAGAAGTTGGGAGTTGGCTGACTGAGAAAGAAAAAAAGGCTTTCCAATAGTACCCTTGGCTTGGATAAAAATTCACAACTAATGAAGGCTACAAGAATAGAACTTGGGTCTCCCTTGTAGAAGCAATGGTGTTTACTAGCAAGCTGAAAGGTTTTTTGTGTTTTATCTTTAAAATAATATATTTAATGTCTATTATGGTGGAGGTTTTTGTATAAATTATTATTATTATTATTACTATTATTATTATTATTATTATTATTATTATTATTATTATTATCAATGTCTATTATTATTATTATTACTATTATTATTATTATTATTATTATTATTATTATTATATTGCATAGAAACGTGTATAGCATCAAGGTAAAATGGTCATTTTACACCAGTCAACACATTCAGTCAGATTTTCAATCAAACAACATGATTTCTTACTCAGTCAGAATTTCTTACTCAGACAGACCTTTCTCAGTCAGCAACTATCAAACGGGGCCTAACATCTTGTTGAATAACCTGTGTGAGGTTCTGAATGGAAAAATACAAGGTGGTAGGGACAAACCTATCATTTATTGTTTGGAGTATATTAGAGAGTATTTGATGAAGAGAATTTGCAATGTCCAAAGAGAGATTCATAGATGTCATGGTGTAACAGCCCATATTCCCAGGTATTAGTTATTTTGTATTTGTTGGTGAATTGTGAGGAGACTCGGCGAGTTGGAGCCCAAACTCGCCGAGTATGATCGCGGTTATGGGTGCGGGTTCGCGTTCGGACTCGGTGAGTCCAAAAGTGGACCCAGAGAGTTATAGCCTATTGATTTATGCTGTGCATGTTTACAGAGTTAGAACATGAGGGTTCACAGAGTTTGGGTTCACGGACCCAGAGAGTTATAGCCTCGAGTGGCTAATATGTGTTATATGTGGTATTTTAGGGAACTCACTAAGCTTTGTGCTTACAGTGTTTGGTGTTATTTGTTTCAGGTACTAGTGACGACCGAGGGAAGGCGCCGGCTTGTTCAGTACACACACACGGGATTTTTATGTTATGAGATCTTGGGATTTTTGTATAACATGGATTGAATTTCAAACATGGGTGTTTTTACGAATATTAAATGAATTATGTTTTTATAAAATGCGAAAAATTGTTTTGAAATTTTACGGTGTTACAAGTTGGTATCAGAGCCTTGGTTTGAGGGATTCGGGTACACCTTCGGGAGTATTTGAACTCAAATTGAGGATTTTGAAAATATTTTCAAAAGAGAACCAAATTTTCTAAAAGAAGTAAAAGATTTTTTTGAGAAACTCAGAGTAGAAACGTGTGTACGATCAGTCAGCGCACGAACGGTGATTTCTCAAAATACCCTTATATTATATGTTTATGAGATTGATATGATGTATTCTCTTGCTAGAGCAGGTTAGGTATTCCTATTAGGACTAGAGTGCCCTGATTTGTGACGCCTTAGCCTAGGGAGAGGTGAGCTGCTATGAGATGCTTGAGAGTGAATAGGTAGCAGCCAGGAGCTTATGAGAGATCTATTAGAGAGTGATAGAGTACTTGGAACTTGGGATCCGAATAGGAGGATTTGGGGTGTATACTGAAACGGTGCGGATAGTAGTATTGGCCCGTACTACTGAAAGCACCGGGGCGGTGTACAGTTCAAGTAAGAACCTTCAGAATGCCAAGGATCAAGGAGGGAAGAGTTGTCGAGCGTGAGTATGTTCGAATGGATTCTAATTTATTGTATGTTGTATTTCAGAGGTAGATCATGGTGAGGACACATCTTATGCCAGAGAGCAGTGGGGCTAGTGATGAGGAGATCCGCCGGATCATCAACGAGGAGGTGGCTGCGGCCATCAGGGCACAGATACCAGAGATGTTCGGGTCTATTAAGACCACGCTGATTGAGACCTTCGACGAGCGTTATGCTGCTCTTTCTGAGACTGCTGTTGCAGCGGCCACTACAGATGTTGCTGCTACGAGGCTGCAGGGTGGTGATGCGTTGCTGTTCCGAGAGTTCAGCAACACAAAACCGCCAGAGTTTGACGGGACCAGGACCCGGTGGCGGCTATGAGGTGGATTTCAGAAATAGAGGGGTGTTTCTTCACTTGCTCATCTCCTGAGTATTTGAGAGTTCGGTTCGCGCTGAACCAGCTTCGCTTGGGAGCAAAGGACTGGTGGAAGTTTGTGACAGCGCACTTTTCGCCTGCTGAGCTTGCGGCAGTAACCTGGGAGAGGTTCACTGCCATGTTCCGAGATGAGTACGTTCCCCAGGTGGAGAGGGAGCGTTTGGCCCAGGAGTTTCTGACCCTCAAGCAGGGTACTGAGTCTGTTACGGTGATTAACAGGATGTTCCACGAGAGGGCGATGTTCTGCCCTAAGCACGTGTCCACTGAGCAGGCACGCATGTGCCGATATTTGAGTATCCTGAGGCGAGACATTTGCCGAGCTTCAGGCAAATGCCCGGAAGAGGGAGATTGAGCTAGAGACTCAGGCCAGGGAGGAGACGGAGTCTCAGGGGAGGGACCGACGATCGGCATAATCCCAACCGGCAGCCAAGCGGGCCAAGCCCGCTGATCCCAAATCTGGGAGCCAAAAGGGCCGCACTTGTGGAAAGTGCGGCAAGGGTCATGATGGAGTATGTAGAGCGGGATCTTGCTACAAATGTGGCAAGGAGGGGCATATGGCCAAGGACTGCCCAAGGGGTTTGCAATGTGTTTTCACTGCAACCAGACTGGACACCGGAAGGCGGAGTGTCCGCAGTTGTAGGGATCAGCTCAGGGAGCACCTCAGGGATCTGCCCTTGCCGCCATCAGAGCTACCGAGAGTCGGCCAGTGAAGGCCGAGGCGCCGAGGGCACGAGGGAGAGCCTTTCAGTTGACCGCAGAGGAGGTCCGCGCAGCGCCCAATGTCGTGGCTGGTATGTCTTCTTTCGTGTAATTATTTTGATGTTGAGATATTATGCTTATATTATGTTATGCGTAGGTACTTTTCTTGTGAATTATGTACCTGCCTTGGTGTTATTTGACTCGGGTGCGAGTCGGTCTTTTGTATCTTTTGCTTTTAGTCAGCATATCAGTGTTAGTCGCGAGGCGCTGAGTTGGCCTCTGAGAGTTTCCATAGCTGACGAGAGGGTGATATATGCCACAGAGGTGATCCGCGGGTGCGTATTCGAGATTTTCGGTGTTGAGTTCCCGATTGATATGGTTCCTATTGCGATGGGTGACGTCTGTGTCATTATGGGCATGGACTAGTTGAGCAGATTCGGTGCGGTTATCGACTGCGAGCGACAGCTGGTGACCATACGAGACCCTAGTGGGGGAGTTCTTACAGTGTACAGCGAGGGTACATGTTCTGGATCAGCGTTTTGTTCGGCCGCTAGGGGCGAGGCAGTGTCTATAGCAGGGTTGCAAGGGCTTTGTGGCGTATGTGATAGATACGAGGGTTGATTCAGAGAGGCCGAGGTTAGTTGAGGAGGTTCCAATAGTGCGTGATTTTTCGGATGCATTCCCCATAGGAGTTGTTGGGTGTGCCTCCCGTGAGGCAAGTGGAGTTCAGTATCGATTTGGTTCCGGGGGCCGCGCCTATCGCCAAGGTGCCTTATCGTCTTGCACCTCCAGAGATGTAAGAGTTATCCTCACAGCTTCAGGAGCTGCTGGGAAAGGGGTTTATTCGTCCAAGCAGCTCACCGTGGGGAGCGCCTATCCTTTTCGTCAAGAAGAAGGATGGTTCACACTGGATGTGCATTGATTACCGGGAGTTGAACAAGCTGACGGTCAAGAACCGTTACCCGTTGCCAAGGATTGATGATTTGTTCAATCAGTTACAGGGAGCATCTTGGTTTTCCAAGATCGATTTGAGGTCCGTATATCATCAGGTGAGGGTGCGAGATGAGGACATCCAGAAGACAACGTTCAGGACGCGTTATGGGCATTACGAGTTTGTGGTGATGCCTTTCGAGCTCACCAATGCCCCGTCAGTGTTCATGGATCTCATGAACCGAGTGTGCAGGCCGATGCTGGATCGGTCAGTGATTGTATTCATCGATGACATATTGGTATATTTGAGATCTAGAGAGCAGCATGAGGAGCATTTGAGGGAGATCCTCAGAGTTCTGAGATCGGAGAGGCTTTATGCCAAATTCTCCAAGTGTGATTTCTGGTTGCGAGAGGTCCAGTTCCTGGGTCATCTCGTTAACCAAAAAGGGATATTGGTCGACCCGGCCAAAGTTGAGGCGGTGATGAGTTGGGAAGTGCCGAGGTCACCCTCCGAGATCATGAGTTTTCTAAGGTTGGCCGGTTATTATCGGAGATTTATCAAGGATTTCTCTAAGATCGCAGTGCCACTCACCAGATTGACCCAGAAGGGTGTCGCTTTTTCATAGGGCCCTGAGCAGCAGGCCTCTTTTGAGACGCTTCGCCAAAGGTTATGTGAAGCCCCGATGTTAGCCCTCCCAGAGGGGATGGAGGATTTTTTTGGTATATTGTGATGCGTCGATCTTGGGGTTGGGAGCGGTGTTGATGCAGAGAGGGCATGTGATAGCATACGCATCGAGGCAGCTGAAGCCACATGAGATGAGGTATCCCACCCATGACCTAGAGTTGGGGGCAGTGGTGTTCGCCCTCAAGATTTGGCATCACTATCTGTATGGGGTTCGGTGTACGATATACACGAACCATAAGAGCCTGAAATATTTGATGGATCAGCCCAACCTAAATATGCGGCAGAGGAGATGGTTGGATGTGGTCAAGGATTATGATTGTGAGATCCTGTAC